TAATCATTGACAAAGTCTTCTATTTTAAGATATAAATAACCAGTTTCTCTACATTCTGCTGACAATATTTATATTATTATATAGAAACAGACTTATATTCTCTATAATATCAAGACTCTGAAGAGAGAAAGTCTTGATAGAGAATATACAGTAGTGCATATTTTAGCAGTTTCTATCTCATTCTTCTGCAGCAGTTAATGCAAAAAAAAAGATCTTAGAAATAGTTTTTTACTTCTCTTGAAAAAGTAAGATGTTTTTCTCTGAGTTTTATATAATATTCTTACAAAGAATTAAAAACAGAGTTATTTTCTGTTATAATTTCATATTCTTTTAAGTAAGAATTACTTTTTCAGTGACTGAAGAGCTTTCATTAATACTTAATTCTTTTTTACACTCTTTATTAACTGATTTGAGTTGCACACTTGTTGTGTGAGAAGAATTGAATGATTTAGAATAAAATTAAATAGTTTTAATCAATTTCTCTGCAAAAAATTGATTTATTTTTTATCAGTTTTTCTCTCAAAAACTGTCATATTATCTGATTTATTATCAATTGATATCATACTTTTTCTCACTGTATCTCAAGAAAGAGATTGTAAAGATTTTATTGATTTATCTTAAAAATCAATTTTAGTTTATTAGATTCTCTTCAAAAATCTAATCTAGTTACTGAACTAGTGTGAAAAAAATCAGGTATTTTATATATAAAAGTCTTTTATTCTTCTTTTAAAACAGTCTGATCAACTTTTCAATTGAAAACAGACTTAGAAATATCTCAATTGAAACAGTCTGATCAACTTTTCATTGAGTGAAAACAATGAGTTCAAAAATACACTCAGTTGATGTGAAAAAAGATGCTTTCTCAAATACTATTTCTGAGATTGAAATTCTGAAGAGAAGAAAGAAAGAAGAAATAGAGAAACAACAAGTTCTTGAAATACAGAAACTTGAAAAAGTAAGCAAGATTCTTGAAAAGCAGTGTCTGAGTGAGATGAATGAAGAAGTTCTGTTAATTCTTCATACTTAGACTAGATAACTACAGAAGATGATCAAGTTCAAACTTGGAATCTCAAACACAGTTCAAAAAACCTTGAAAATTCCTAGTACAATCACTGACTCTTTATCTTGCTCTTCTTCTTTCTTTTTTCCTACTTCTTCTTCTTCTTTGAATCAGAAGAAAACATATGCTCAAGCAGCTGAATCTGCTGTCTCTAAACCTGCTGTCTCAAAATCTGCTCAAAATTCTGAGAAAACTGAGAAGAATACTGCTCATGCCTCTATTCATAGAAAAGTGAAAAAGAAAATGTAAAAAGAGAAAAACTTTTAAATCTTCAGAAATAGAAGACTTATTCTCAAAGTCTTAAATCAGAATATTCTGCAAAGAAACAAGTTAAACTCAAATCTCATTTTCAGAATCAGAAATAAAATTAATCAGCAGTTCTTTTCTCAGTTGATGACTGATATTGAAGTTCAAAAACCAGTTATAGCTTCAATTGAGTGATCATTCTTTGAAAACTTCATCATTCTGACTACAATATCTGAATTCAGTGCTGAATTTCTTATTCAGAATGAGAATCTCTGAAAGTCAGCAGTAGAATCTTTGCTAAACACAATAATTCTATCTGAAAGAGATGAAAAGTGAGACAAATTCATTCTTTATAATATTTCAGTTGAAATTTTTGACTGTGAAGAAGAAATGCTACTTCTCAAAAATGAATTGAAAGAATACAACTCCATTCAACTGAGAAAGGAGCCTGTATGACTAAATTCAATTGAGTTCAGACAAAGCAGGAGAAATGCCTCTGTTCTAGTATATACAAAAACACTTAAACAGTCAAAGATCTCTGAAGTAAGAGTAGCAGATTTGAAAATGAGAGTTCATGAATACAAAGACTCAAGAATGAATCTCAAAGCTCAAACACAGTGTTCAAACTGTCAAAGATATGGATACTTTGCAATCTCATGTTTTAGAGACTCAAAATGTGCATTCTGTGCCAGAGATTATAAAACTAGTGAGTATAAATGTGAAACATGCTCAAAAAGAGATGAAATTTATCAATATACTCTGCTTAAGTGCTCTAATTGTAAAGAAAAACATACATCTAGCTCAAAAGAATGTATATTTACTTCTAGAACTCAAAAGAACTGGAGAAAAGATGAAGCTCAAAGTCAATCTAAAACTGAAGAGAAGAGTCAAGTCAGTAAACTTACAACTGTAAGCTTAAAAAGAAGAAACTCTTAACTATCTAAGTCTTCAAACTTCAATTCTTCAGCTAAATGTAAATAGAATTTGAATTCTCAAACTTCTGTTAAGATTAGAGAATTGAGAAATGACTCTGATAATAAACTAGATATAATGCAAGCAGTTGAGATTCCTGCTTTTCAGAACAGTTATAATCTACTATCTGATGATAGTGATTAGATTCTACTCTACTCTCTTTTAGTATGAATATACAACAAAAACAACAAAAAAAGTTTAAAAACTCTTTAAAAATCACATTTATTCAAAATAATGTGAATAGAAACTCAAATTGCATTTATTCTTGTCTTCAAATTGTATTTGAATAAAAAGTTGATTTTATACTGCTTCAGAAGCTGAATTTTGATGCTGAGTAAAAATATGTCATTTCTCATTCAAGCTACTACTGCTTTTTATCTCAAAAGTCTGAGATAAAGTCAAGAGTAGTGATCTATGAAAGAAAGAGATCAAGATATTAATTTAATCTAAGATTTAATATCATGTCTGACCCTGATATTCTGATGAGTGATATTATAGATAAAGAAAATGAGTTTGATACTATACAGCTTATAAATATCTATAATGAAAAGTTATTGAAGAAAAATAATAATATCTGAATAATTGATAGAGAATTTCTGAATATAACTTCATCAAGAAACTCTATAATTGCAGGAGATTTCAATGCACATCATCTCTGATAGAATTCAGAATGCAAGAGAGTAGTAAGAGCTGATAATTTGATTGAATGAATCTTTGAGTATTCAATAGATTTGATTAATAAGTCTGATCAACAAACATTCTTTAGAAAAGATATGAAACAGAAATCTATTATAGATCTAACATTTATATCACAAAATCTAATGAAAAGAAGACTTATAAACTGATTTATTGATTTAAATGAGACATTAGAATCAGATCATGAGATTATTCAATTTAATATTGAACTGAGTGAAAAATAAATGAGTGAAAATTCTCTTCTCTCTAATCAGTATAACTTTGAAAAAGCTGATTGAAAAGCAGTTGAAGAAAGTATAAAACTGTTAAAATCTGAAAGATAGAATAAGCTATATTGAAATTCTGAACAAGATATCTCAAATGAAATACTTAAGAATAGAGTGAAGCTTATTACATCTATTATTCTAACAAGTATTAGAGATAATATTTCAAAAAGAAAATCTTCTGAGTATTCAAAACCTTGATAAAATAAGAATATCTTATCTAAAAGAAAAGAATTAGCTACTGCTAGAAGAGATTGAAAGAATGATGTAATATCTGATAAAGAGTTCAAAGCTGTCAGAAATGAATATTTTTCAGATATTAAAAGAGCTAAAACAGACTGCTGAAATAAATTTCTTGAAGAAGAATAAGAAAAGGAAGTTTTTAAAGCTTTTAACTATACTAAAACAAGAAGTGTAGCAAAACTTTCAGCCTTAGAATATAAGTTTCAGAATGAATTATATACAGCAAACTCTTTTGAGAAAAAATGTCAAGCTTTTATAAGAATTCTCTTTCAGAACTCATCAGATTCAGATTCAGATTCAGAGAAAGAGAATATATTACTTCTCAACTACATTGATGAAAATGACTGAGAATGACCTGATCTTACACAAGATGAATTAGAGTCAGCTATCTTCTCAAGTTCTGTTAAAACTGCTACAGGTCCTGATTCAATTAATCACTTAATTATTCAAAATACATATTTCTACTTAAAGAATGAATATTTTGAGCTCTCTTTCAATCTCTTGAAAAATGAATATCATTCTGAATGCTGAAGAGAAGCCACTGAAGTGATTCTTGCAAAACCTAATAGAAAAACTTCAATTTCTAAGTCATATAGAGTAATATCTCTATTGAACTGTCTAGAAAAGGTTTTAGAAAAGATAATAGTTACTTAACTATCTTTTATAAGCTTTATAGATGATTCTCTTTTATTCAGTGAATAAATGAAAGATAGAAAACAGTGTTCTGCAATTGACACTGTTCTCTCAGTTGTTTATAATATTCAAATAGCAAAGCATGAGAGTCTGATCTCAACTGCAGTTTTTATTGATATAAAAGAAGCATTTGATTGTGGTTCGGAAGAACGTACGACCGTCGGATAATACCGCGGCCGCTTCCGAACTACTAGCGTACGCGTATGAGTGTAAAGAGGCTATAGCGGCTGCTAATTAAATTAGCATATGATATTACAATATATAAGAAGCCGGCATACACCTGTAATTGTACACTGGCTTAAGCAACCTTTGAATCACATCTGATAGCTGTCTAAAAATCAGTGAGAAGTGCAGACTTCTCCAGGGCATGATAATTTCATCTATGAAGCAATTCATAGTTATCATGCCAGTGTGGTTCTAGAATGTCTCAAAAAGATAGTGTACAAAGAGTGGTGAGCAGAAGAGCATTCAATTGATACTGCTTCACTTGTTGAGGGAAAACTCCATGCTCAGGTGAATGTCATGTATGCGAACAGATGAGGTGTGAGAAAGGGGATGAGAGCAGTGAACCAGATTCAAAGAAGTCCGCTCCCTACTTAAAAGAAGGATAAAAGAGAGGGGTGTGGCCACTACCAGAGTCGTACAATGATAACAGAAATCATATAATGATATAGTGATAGAATGATATAGCGATATAGTGATATAGTGATATAATGATACAAGTAATATAACAATAGACATCATACAATCAACCAGAAACCATCAAAATGAATACCTCTTCTAGCTGATACAAACAACACTCTTCTCTGCTACCTGAACTGAAAGATATGCAGAACCTCTCAGAGAATTTACTCAAAGCAGTAAGAAAAGCAGCTGAAACTGCTGAACTGGAATTGAAGCTCTGTATGTGTACAAGAATTCTAAACAAGATTAAGGCCTTGTGTATACAGTGACAGACTGAGATGAAAGTCAAATAACAATTGACATTCACTGCAGACCAAGTATTCACTATGAAGAGCTTTATCAACACAATTACCATCATTAATAAGAATAGAGAAAACCAGATCTTAAGTCTGCAGCAGAAGATTGAATATTTACACAGACAGATGACTACATCAAACCTGGAGATTTCATCACAATTGTTCACAATCTCTTCAGAAGTGTACACATCATTGAAGACTGCTGTGCAGAATGAGAATCTGAGCATGAAATATATCAAGTCAGAAGATCTGCTGAAGTTATCAAGCTTTAATAGCAACTGAAAAAATGATGCTACAATCAGCTAACTAAGTCAGATGTAATCACATTATTAGATTGAATATGAACTCACAGACAGACAGTTAATGAAATTTCAACAAGTCTTAAGATCTGCTGTGTTTCTATGTGAAAAAGTGAAGTTATTATGAATAATTGATGAAAAGATGAATCTCACAGACTCAGAGTAATATTCATTTTCATGAACATGAAATGAGTTTTTCAAATGAATCTTACACAACTTTGAGAAAGTGAACACATAAGACAAGTATTATGAACACTTCACTAAGTGTAGATAAGTGAGTAATCTTACATCATACTTCACACACTTCAGCTTATACTATCTCATGTTGAATGAAGAGCTTTCAATATCTTTCTGTTTACAGATCTTCATTCATAATCTTATGCCTGAGTTAAGAGTGAAATGAAAATGTTTAATCTTACAGTCAGGCACAGTGAAGAAAGCATACAATATCCTTATTGTATAAGAACAAGTGAGTCAATTATGACAGAAAATACTACAATCAAGTATGTCTCAGTGAAGAACAGATAATCAGACTTCTATGACACAAGTCACATATCTGAATATAATGAATCTAGATCTGAATATCATCACTAAAGCACTGAATCCTCTAAAAAAGAGATTCTCTGAGTGAAAACCTTGATATTATAAGCATTGAGCTTGCTTCAACTGCAGACACTAAAATCATGATATAAAAGATTACACTCAGTGTACACAGTCAAAAAACTAGCAGAATCAGTGAGCTCAGAGACACTCACTGATATTCTATGAAAAGTCTTTAAAGTGAAAGAGATGCCTGTGTTAGATGACTCTCTGAATTCTGTAAACATCAAGAGAAAGCAGGCTTCTGACTGAGATACAGATGAGAATGAAGTGAACACTCATCTCAATATCTTGAGACCTGAAATGTTAATATATAGAAGACACTTGAATAAGAATTGAGAGATGACTGCAAAAGTGTTAGTGAACACAGAAGCTTCTACACAATATATTAATAATTATATAATTCAAAGATTGAAAGAGATTCACTGAGTGAAGAATTCTCAATACATAAGATTATCTGATAACTGATATTTGATATCACCTATAAGAGTAAGAGTTCCCTTGCACTTCAGAGAATGATCTTACTATATTTAAGCATGAGAGCTGCAGAACATGAAATACAACCTTATTCTCAGACTTGATTAGTTCTAAAGATTCAATCCGCAGATTCAATGACATACATGTCATACTCAGTTGACTGATAGAAAGAAAATGATTTATACAATTCTATCAACTGATATGAGAAGAACATTTCACATTCTCAGTATAGAAGGGTTAAATCTGCTTACACATTAACAAGCAAAGAGAATGATTCACAAGACCTCATCTGAAAGCATTCTGTATGTCATACAGAACCTGAAAGTGGAGAAAACTAAGATAAAGAATATGTAGAAGAACAAGTGTATGAAGAAGCTTCTGAAGAAGTATGAAAAGATCTTTCAAACAGATCTTTCATCAGAATTGTCACTGAAATGAGGATTCATACATGAGATTGACACAGAGGATGCAAAATCAGTTAATCAGAACACATACTCTCTGTCATAAACACATCTCAAAGAACAGAAGTGTCAGATCACTGACCTTCTAGAACATAGTCTTATACAACTCTCATCAAGCATGTGAGGCTTTTCAGTTCTATTTGTGAAAAAGATGAGTGAGAAGTGATGAATATGTATCAATTATTAAGCACTTAATAAGCTTACAATCAAGAATGAATATTCACTGTCACAGATCCAATAACAGTTGAATACAGTCAGAAATGCCTGATATCTATTGAAGATTAATCTTCTCTCAGAATACTGGCAGATCCACATAGATGAACTGTCAGTCTCACAAACTGTGTTTAATATGCAATGAGAGAAGTTCAAATTCCTGGCAATGTCATTCAGTCTGACAAATGCACTCATCATCTTTCAAATGATGATGAATATCATTCTTCATAAACAGAATGAAATCTCATGTCTTGTATATCTCAATGACATTCTAGTCTTTTCAAACTCATATGATAAACATCTGAAGCATCTTGATAAAGTGCTTACAACTCTGACAGAGTATAAGCTCTATATCAAATCAATCAAGTGTGTGTTTGAAATGAAAGAGTTGAAGTTCATAGAACATGTAGTGAGTGATGACTGTATGCACCTCATTCTGAAGAAATTGAATGTTATAGCAAATTAGCTGCAGCTGAGAAATGTACATCATATATAACAGTTTCTTGAGTTAGTCTCATACTACTGCAGGTTCATCAAGAATTTCACATGAATATCTGCATCACTCTCAGATCTCTTAAGAGAAATGAATACAAATCTGTGAAAGAAGAAGTTTTATTCAATTATTTGAAATACTGTGTGTGAAGAGGCTTTTCTCACACTGAGAAAATGTGTAATAACATTCTCAGTACTTATTCAATCAGATTGTAATAAATCTTTCTACATCAAGATAGACACATTTAAATAAGCTATCAGAGATGCTCTTCTACAGATGAGTAAGAATAGCAAGCTGCACTCAGTGATATACAATGGTAGAAAACTATCAGACGCTGAGCTCAATTATTCAGTGTATGAAAAGAAATTGCTAGTGATTAAGCATGTGCTGACATTGTGAAATAGATATATTAATAACAGGTATACAATAATAGTGATCACAGATCATGAAAGCCTTGTCTATCTATAATTAATAATAAAATCTTTCAAACACTTAGCATGTTGAATCTCAGAGTTTCAAGTGTACAATCTTCATATCAAATATTAAAAAGAATTGAATACAGTGATACTGAACACAATCAGTCACAGACCTGATTTCATGAGTGAGAGTTCTGTGAACCAGGTACAAGAAATATTCATGTTAAACATGCTGAGAGAATGCAAGGAATCAGAATGAGTGAATGTTATAATCTCTTACTTAAAGAATAGCAAGGTGTCAGATAACAAGTGTCTCATGAGAGTAGTAGAAGAGATGCTTCTGAACTTCAAGCTGAGGAAATTGAGAAATGAAAATGACATTGTGCTTTACTGTGATCTAGAATACACAGAAGCTCCCTATCTAGAATCTTCATTTAGACATGACTTGATGACTCACATGCACAAGGAATTCAGTCACTTAGAAAGCCCTGAACTCATGAGTGTACTTGAATCAAGAGCATACTGATCAAGTATGGCTGAGAACATTCAGATGTATGCTCATGAGTGCCTGAATTATCAGATTGTGAAAGAATCTAAGAAAGGGTTAGAATGTGAGAAAGCACAACATCAGATAAAGTGTATAATACAACTGTTCAAATAATGAGAGGTGAACCTCATAGACATATTGTCACAAACATCAAATGAAAATTAATGAATAATCACTGCTATTGATTACACTACTGACTGGCCAGTTATGAAAGCAGTTTCAGAGGTGATAGAGAAGGTGATGATGAAGTTTCTACATGATGAGATCTATGTCAACTATGAAATGCTGTGTGAGATTCTAACTGATAATGATGCAAATCTTATAGAAGAAGTAGTAAGGCATTTCATAAGTCAGTTACAGACAAGATATCATAGAACAACATCATATCATCTGCAGATAAACAGGAAGATGAAACACTTAAATGAAATCTTGAGTAACATGCTGATGAAATATCTAGTGAGCAAGTCTATAAGACTATGAGATGAATATCTCAGACAGGTGCTATTAATCACATGAATTTGACAATATGCAGTCTTCAAGTGTTCATCATTCTATCTGTTGTATGGATTGCATCCGCGCATCCCGGAGAATGCTTTGAAAAAGATGAGAGAGAAAGCAGTTGTAGACACAGTAGAAACAGCAGTTGCAGACACAGCAGAAACAGCAGTTACAAATGCAGCAGTAGCAGTTGCAGACACAGCAGTCGTGGATGCAGAACCAAGATTGAAAGAGATCAGCCACACACATATAAAAGCTAACAAGTTACTTCTGAACTGAGCAATTCAATTGAAAAGAATATGAGACTCACTTGTTAAGAAATCAAGTCTCAAGATGAGAATGTGAGTTCTTATATGCAATGAGAGTTCTGAGAAGTTTCAATCTAGATGATTTAAGTTATATAAGATACTCAAATCACATTCTCTGAAAACATACACATTGAAAGAATCAGAGAGACAGATCTTATGCAACTTAATCAATAATTCATAACTTATGAAAGCAAAGATGCAAGACTTGAGTGAATTATGATTATTCACAGCACTATTATCAGTGTTGAAAAAGAAGAGACTTATAATTGAAAAGTCTCATGAAGTAAGAGAAATCATAGACACTTATAAACCAGATGATCTCACTTATTTCAATCTTTTTACAATTATAAGGAAAGAATGAGAAGTAATGAAGAAATCAGACAAATGTCACACTTCAATAAGTGATGAGACTGTAGCTGATTGTATGATAACATATCACAGACAGCAGACATAACACAGTAAAGAGTGATCTCAAAGCAGCAGACTTGCATATGAGTCAGATCACAGAAGAAAAAGAAATTCAGAGTTGAATTCAACTGTTTACACCAGTTCAATCACAGAGATCACAGAGAACAAACTATCTGAAACATTCACAGACACATGAGATCAAGTCATCTTGACCCCTGAGGACACTCAGAGATCAGATAAGGTTAGTTTCAATGAGCTGTTTACTATAGTGGTCTGCCAGCGTGGCCCAGTTGGTAAGACTGGTAACCAAGGCCGCACACATTAGGGGTGCATGGGTTCGAATCCCACCGCTGGCACCTGCCACTTCTTACCCATGAAAGCCCCCATGTAATAGGGGCTGAGCCTAATTAGTAAGGCTTGGTACAGTGTAGAACTCCCTACTGCAAGCCAAGCCACTAGTTAAGTGAGATTCTGCAAACACCCACCAGGGCCGGCATGAGGTGCCAATGTCCCACTATTCTACTGTGCACCCGTCAAGGTTCTAATGATATAGAGTCAAGCC